AACCTCTGTTATCCGAACCCTCTATTATCCGAACCGAAAATAATTTTATCCGAACTTCTGTTATCCGAACTTTTTTTTGACCTCCCGAATCTTTCAAACCAAAATAAAATAAAATTCATAACCAAAATAACAAAATTTCTGACAAAAAAATATTTAAAAAATTCTGAATTCTCTGTTTTATTAGTGGGTGATTTTCCGTGTAGCGCAGAATTTAATGTCCCTGGTGTTTTTTAACAAATCAGTTTTATATATTGTAATAAATACAACGTGGATAACTTATTTTCATGATAACAAATAACAATCTATTGTCGTTTTCATTTAAAAGTTTATAATTTTGCTGAAAAATCTGTTTTAAGGTGCCAAATCGTCATGGTGTAATCAGTCCCCACTACCATTTAATATATAAAATGTTATTTTTTTAGTAAAATATAATAATAAATATAATGAATATGACATTTTCTTATTGTCTATGTTAGTTGAATTGAGAAAAACAAAATACTTGTGAAAAAAAATTTATTTTTTAAATATTTTTGTAGTTATTTCTTGTCCATGGTATAATCACTTTGTAAAACTGCATAATTTACATAAAAAATCAAATCGAAAAATTACTTAACATTAATAAAAATCATTAATAAACTCTCCTAAGTAAATTACTAAAAAAGAAATTAATGCAAAAATTTTTTTTCTGTTTTATATGTGTTACAAGCATGAAAGTTGCATAGGGAATCACAGAATCGTCATGGTCAAATCATAATATATTTGCAATAAAATGAATAATTATTTATATTTTACGTTAAAACAAGTTTAGTAGTCTAAGGTTAGTGAAAACAAATGACGTTAAAAAAGAAAAACATTAAAATCGCTAATAATTTGTTTAAAAAAACTGTTTTATTTGCGCGTCATGGTGGAATCAGTGCGTCATAATGTAATAAATTTTACATCCGGGTGTTTATTGTAAAAAAGAAAATTATAATTATTTTGTCTGGCCTACCACGAATATTTTATTCTTGAATGTTGAACTTTAAAATTCTATATCGACTTTTACTTAATTTGAAAAAAAATTTCAAAAATAATAAAATCCAAATTGTGCGCTACGCGGAGAATCACCCTAGTATATTATTATTTGTATGAAATTAAATTAATTAAGATAAAGGAAGGGGGACTTTTGGTTGCCTTTGAGGCATTGATATGTATTTCTTTGTTTGTGTGCCTTAGTTTTTAATGTTTAACTTTAAAATGTTTGAGTGTTGTGTTCAGATTATTATAGTAGTTGTAAGAATTTATATGTTAGTGTGTGTGTGGAGCCGAAACACGGGAACTAATAAAAAACTTGGGAATTTGAGTGAGAAAAATAGTATATTTGTGCCATGGATGGGAATGTTCCTAAAAAGCAAAGGCGTGGACGTCCTAGGAAGCGACAATCTCCTTCTCGGAAACGCAGAGGATCTCCAGAGGATGAAACAGATGGAGTAAACCAGCGAAGGCGTTTACCACGTCTGCACGTGGTTAGTAGTGACCGTTCCTGGGAGACACGTGGTGGTTCTGGACTACACATATCGCAACAGGGTGAGCCAGGCCATGTGGACGGGGATGGACAGCGACGATCATCCCAAGCGAATCAACGGCAGCAGGGAGGTGGCAATGGATCTTCTCAGCGGACCTTGCGGAGTTCTGAACGTGTCGATCATGGTTCTTCGGATTTTACAACAGTCAGTCAGACGGGTAACTCTCAGAGAAGTTTGGTAAGTGAGTCACTCTCATATAAAAGGCGATCGATTTATATTGAAGCTGCGGAGGAGAGGGCGCGAATAAAACGTAGAATGCTTGAGCAGAGGGAAACAATCGAATTAAAGTTAGTAAATGAAAAATTAGCTGCTAGATTTTTTAAGAAAAAATGAAGGATCAGTGGTGGATTCTCAGAATTTTATCTCAAACAAAGAAGGTAGTAGTTCGGGACCGCGTCATTCCATTCTCGAGGGTCATGATGGAGTTGAGGATCGTCGTGTCGCGGAGTGGATAAATAGCGTAGCGTCTAGAAGGGGAGAACAAAATTCACATTTTTATGCTCAAAACTTAACGAATAATGACCCACCAGCTTCAATAGTGGCATTAGCGGATCCTAGACTTGGCGATGTTTTAGTAGCCACTATGAAAACCTTGCAAGAAGTTTCCGTGAGCGGAAATAATTCCAATCGTTTAGTTAATAGACTTACCACTGCAAAGAGTCTTCCGTCATTTTCCGGTGACTCTTTGGAATGGATCAGATTTAAGCAAGCGTTTGAAACATCGTCGAAATTGGGTACTTATTCAGAAGCCGAAAATGTAATGCGACTCTATGATGCCCTAAAGGGTGTTGCTAAAGAAGCTGTAGAGTCGTTGATGGTAACAAATGCAACTCCCCACACTATAATGAAAATTTTGGAATTGCGATTTGGAAATTCAGATTTAGTTTCCGAAAAAATAGTTCACCAAATAAAAAAATTACCTAGTTTAGATTCCGGAAAAATTATGAAGCTGAAGTCCGCAACGTTTTTAAAAACGAAAAATCAAAAAAGAATTTTTTTCAAGTTAAATTCATCTCTAATTTTCATGTTTCTTAATTTTTAAGAAATTACTTGTTGCTTAAGATACAATTATTAAAAATTAACATGAGTTAGAATCAAAAATAAAAAAACCGTCCCTTTATTTTTTCGTTTTCGTTTTTAAAAACGTTGCGGACTTCAGCATCATGAAAAATTGACCTTATTAGTTTTGCGACAAAGGTGCACAATGGTGCAATCGCGATACGTTCTTTAAATCACGTAGGATATCTGTGCAACCCAGATTTGATTTCAGAAATAATTAATAAATTACCGCCTGCACTACTTTACTCGTACAACAGACACATCCATTTAAACAGTTCAGACGAACCGTGACTAATAAAATCAGCCGATTTTTTATTAAAGGAAGCGGAAATGGAATGTTTGGTCGGTACCGCACAACGTGTTCGGAAATCTAAAAGTGTTCTTGTGACTGTCGTGCAAGAATTGCCAAAGACACCACAAAATGATAAATCTAAACCTCAAAGTAAAAAATAAAAAAGAAAATTTATGCCATTATTGTAATAAAAAGGGACACTTAATAAATAAGTGTCGAAAATTTGAAAATAAATCACCAAAACAACGCTGGTTTTGGGTTAAAAATAACAGAGTTTGTTTTAAATGTTTGGGGAAAAGTCACCAAGTTGCAAACTGCATGGCAGTCGCATGCATTGTAGACGATTGTGGTAAATCTCATCATAATCTTTTACACGACAATTCGAGGCAGACGAAACTTGACGAAAAGCACACTGAACAAACAGTATCAGAATCAAATCATGTTCCGGTCACATTGTTAGGTCCTTTAAACAAAATAGAGACTTTTGCTTTATTAGACGATGGATCTACTGTAACATTGATAAATTCGCAAACTGCACGCGAAATCGGTTTGTCTGGACCAGTTGCCCGGCTCACAATAAAAGGTCTTGGTGATCATGAAATCGACGTTGATAGCGAAAAAGTAAAATTAAAAATAACTGGCGGGTTAAAAACTTTTAACCTAGAAAATATACACACAGTAGAAAACTTATCTTTACCTCGTCAATCAATTGAGCAAAGCCTAGTCGAAACATTCAAACACATAAACGGATTGGATATCCGATCTTATAATCAAGCTATTCCCACTATTCTTATTGGTCAAGATTATTGGCACTTAATTGTCTCTCGAGAAATTCGGTCATCGGATAATAGAGCGATAGCAGCGTCTCGAACATTACTGGGTTGGATCATTCACGGGTTCGCGGGTAGGCATCGGCAAATCGGGCATTGTTTGCAAAACACCCTTAAAAACCGACAGATGACCATCAATTCCTTTGTGCTATATTGGACCACGAGTTACACGATCTCGTTAAAAATTATTTTCATATTGATGCTCTAGGCATATCTTCATTCGAGAAGGTTAATTCGTCCGTAGAAAAAACGAATAAAATATTGCAGAAAACTACAATTCGAAACGGAAAAAGTTGGCAAACTGGGTTACTTTGGAGTCGTGACGAGGGTATCACAAATCCCAATAGTAAGCAAACCGCTCTGAATAGATTAAAAACTCTCGAAAAAAGATTAGATCGAGACCCCGCCTACGCTAATTTATACTATAGTGAAATGCAGAGATTTATGGATGCCGGCTACGCGGAACGATTAATAAACACAGATTTTGGGGAGAATATATGTTATATACCGCACTTTGGTGTCTTAGGCCCAAGCAGGGATAAAAAGGTTAGATTAGTTTTTGATGCGGCTTCAAAAACGGGGGGAGTAAGTCTAAACGATAGGCTTCTCAAAGAACCGGAATTATTAAAATCTTTGATCGGAATTTTAATGCGATTTAGACAACATCAAATAGGTCTTAAAGGAGATATTAAGGATATGTTCCTCAGGGTAAAATTGCATCCACCGGATCGCGACGCGCAACGATTTTTATGGCGAGATTAAAAAAGACATGGAGTGAAAAGGTCGAATATATCGAAAAGTATCGAAGTAAAGAATGGGCAATGAGAATGTAAAATCTTAATAGAAGGGTGTTTTTAAAATGGTTTGTACATGTGAAGGTGGCGCTGCAGTCGTATGTTATTTAAAAAGAGCGCGAATATATAAATTTTATTTTTGTTAAGAGAAAGTACTCATAATAAATCTTATTTTGCATTGTCAAAAAAAACGTCAACATTTCAAATATAAATAAGCTAATTATTCACTGAAAAAATTTGAATATTATTATTAATGAAATAATGGACTTGGACAATGGACATATAAAAACTAGCACCGTAGACGGCCGCTTGCGGCCGTCGGAGGAGCTAGTGGCGAGAAAAAGATAGAGACCGTTCTCCGGATGAGTACACAATGAATACTTTGATTTTTGTTTCAAAATCCTCACCTAGTAGTGCGATATTTGTAAAAAATGCAAATGCTAACGAATTTAAAGATAGTATGCCAGAAGCAGCTTTAGCTATAGTAAACGATTCTTATGTGGACGATTTCTTAAAAAGTGTAGATACTGAAAATGAGTCTGTAACGATGATTAAGCAAGTTTCCTTTATAAACGAACAAGGCGGATTTAATATGCATTCTTGGTCCTGTAACAGTCCCGAAGTATTAAAATCAATTCCAGGGAATCAGCGTGATTCCAATGACGTTAGTCTCAATATCGACATCACTGAATTAAAAACACAAAAAGCACTTGGCCTTTTTTAGAAAACAAAAGAGGATGTCTTTCTGTTCAACGTAGGAATAGCAAAAATTCCCCCTGATATTTTACACGAGGAGCGACCTTCCACAAAACGCAAATTTTTGAGAATCATAATTGCAGTATTTGACCCTCTAGGTTTTCTTGCTCCGTTTATCATTCACTCAAAAATTTTAATGCAGGAAGTATGGGTCAGTGGAATCGAGTGGGACGCGCCTTTAGGTGATAACGAAAACAAATTGTGGAAATCGTGGATAAAGGACTTACCGAATGTTGGCTGGTGCTCCGTTCCGAGGTGCTATTTACCACCAAATAGAAACATAATTCTCACGCAGTTACATATATTTTGTGACGCAAGTTCATAGGCATATTCGGCTGTTGCCTATTTAAGATTCTCATTCGATGATGGGTCTACTCGCACGAGTTTTGTTGCCAGTAAAAGTCGTGTAGCCCCTTTAAAACCAATGTCTATACCGCGGTTAGCGCTTCAAGTAGGTTTATTGGCTAGTCGATTAAGAAAAATAATTAAGGAGGAACACACCATTCGCACAAATAAATGCTTTTATTAGTCCGACTCACAGACGGTCTTATTGTGGAATAAATCAGATCCGCGACCATATCAAACATTTGTTTCTCACCGATTAGGAGAAATAGCCGATTTAACCGATCCAACGGACTGGAGATGGGTACCTTCAAATAAGAATCCGGCAGATGACGCAACCAGGGTTAGTGTAATTTTATTGCATGAAAATCATAGATGGTACTCGGGTCCTTCTTTCTTACGTTCTGAGGAAAGTGATTGGCCCAGGCAAACATTCCAACAAGCCGAGGATACCAATATAGAACAATTGGAAAGAAAGAAGGCACAGGTTTTAGTAATGGAGCAAACTCGGAAAACATGTACTCCGGACCCTGGGCGTTTCTCCAAATGGATTCGTTTGCTACGTAGTATGGCTTGGGTACTTGTCGCAGTCAAAAAATTGAAAGGTAAAAACGTTTCTAAATTAGAAATTGAACATTTAAAGAAAGCCGAAAATTTGTTAATTAAGCAAATACAGTTACTCATTTGGATCAGAACTACGGGCATTAAACAGCAAAAAACATATTGCTAATTCGAGCCGGCTCAAAAATTTGACACCCTTCGTCGACGAAAATGATTTGCTCTGTGTTAGAGGTCGCGTGAATGTAGATGTAGATTCTTCTTTCAATAGTTATCCCCCAATACTAGATGGCAAACATATAATAACACGGTTACTCGTTCATTCCTATCATGAAAAGGCCAACCACGGTAGTCCTAACCTGGCTATAAATGAAATGCGCCAAAGATACTGGATAGTAAACCTTAGAAATGCATTGCGATCAGTTACGGTAAAATATCAAGTTTGTAAAATAAAGAAAGGAAAACCGACCTTTCCGATCATGGCTGATCTTCCAACTGCACGCTTAGGGTATCGGCAACGTCCATTTACTCATTGCGGACTTGATTACTTTGGCCCTTTAATAGTCAAAATAGGTCGCCGTCGGGAGAAACGATGGGTTGCCCGATTTACTTGTTTAACGACTAGGGCAATCCATTTGGAAATCGTTCATTCTGCTAGCACTGATTCGGCTATAATGGCCATACGGAGAATGATTGCGAGAAGAGGTCAACCTGCTGTTCTATACTCCGATAATGGGAGAAACTTTGTCGGGGCGAATAATAAACTCCGCACGATCCAAAAGGATCTTAACTTTGATAAACAATCAGAATTTGTGACAGGTCTAGGGATAAAATGGCACTTCATTCCACCTGATGCACCGCATATGGGGGGCGCGTGGGAAAGATTAGTTCGTTCTGTTAAAACTGCTCTTTATGTAACTTTAAAAGAACAAGTGCCTAAAGAGAAAGTTTTCATTACTTTTCTGGCAGAAGCAGAGCATTCGGTAAACTCGCGTCCTCTCACTCACGTCTCTTTAAATCCTCGAGATCAGGAGGCGTTAACGCCTAACCATTTTCTGTTGAGGAGCTCTTCGGGGGGTGATGTTTTTTCTAGATTCAACGGTATCAGTTCCTGTTCAAGAAAACAATGGTGTATTGCACAATCTTATGCCGATTCTTTCTGGAAGCGCTGGTTAAAGGAATATTTGCCCACCTTGCTCCCAAAGTCAAAATGGACCGCCGAAACAGATCCACTGAAGGTTGGAGATGTGGTCATCGTAATTGCCTACAGTTCACCAAGAAACCTTTAGAAAAAAGCACTGGTGACACGAATACTTCCAGGAACAGACAACAGAGTCCGAGTCGTTGAAATCCAAATTGGAGCAAGAACACTATTGAGACCTTCGACGAAGCTGATAAAAATTTCTTAAGTACAAAGACTTACGTTTTGTACAGGAAAAAGTATGTTTGAAATTACATTAACCCCTTAACTGCCGGCTGAAAAACACTAAATGTGCCCAGAATGCCAAGAATAAAAAATCGTCCAATTCGTCTGAAACTTGTTACTCAGGGGTTTTCGAGGTCGCTGATTACGAATCTGATGTCGGTATTTCAGAATTCAATATGGCGGACGGATTTTTAAAAATAAATCCAAATTACCTGAAATTTGTTACTCAGGGGTTTTTGGGGTCGCTGATTACGAATCTGATGTCGGTTTTTCAAAATTCAAAATGGTGGATCCAATATGGCGGACATTTTTTTTTAATTTTGGATTCGCTTGAAAATTATCATTAGGGGGTTTTCGGCGTCGCTGATGATGAATCCGATGTCAGTTTTTAAAAATTAAAAATTGCGGATCCAATATGGTGGAAATTTTTTTTTAAAATTTTGTATTCGCTTAAAACTTGTCACTCGGGGATTTTTGGGGTCGTTGATGACGATTTCTATGTCAGTTTTTCAAAATTCAAAATGGAGGGTCCATTATGTCGGATATTTTTTTTTTAATTTTGAATTTTCTTGAAAATTATGAGACGCATGCTTATTCCCGAAATCTTTTTTGACCAAATAGGTATTTGATATAAAACTACTTAACTTAAAATTCACATAATATGCACATTATTTGACATAAATTTCATTGCACACAAAAACCATTTAACATAAATATCATTTGTCATAGAATTCATTAAACAGAAATATTATGTTACATAAAACTTAGATAACTTAATTCCCATTTGACATAAAAATTATGTAACATAAATTTCTATTGACATAAAAATCATTTAACATAAATTTCTTTTGACATAAAATTCATTTAACGTAAATTTTATTTGTTATAAAACTCATTTGACATCAATTTCATTTGGCATAAATGTCATTTAACGTAATTCTCATTTGACACAAATATCATTAGACATAAAATTAGCTTGACATAAATTTTATTTGACGTGAATATCATTTAACATAATTATTATTTAACGTAAAATTAAATTTATATATATTTCATTTATCATAAATTTCATTTAACATAATTCTCATTTAGCATAACATTTACTTGTTATAAATTTTATTTGGTATAAATCCCATTTAATATAATTTTCATTTGACATAAAGTTCATTTGACATAAAAGACATTTAACACAATTCTCATTTGTCATAAAAGTCATTCAACAAAATTCTAATTTGACATAAAAATCATTTTACACAAATTACATTTTACATAACAATATCGGCGCGAATTTTAAAAGTAACCAATTAGATATTATCAACAACATTGTGATTCGACAATTTTGAAATTCGCGCCTATATTTCCATGTCAAATGATCTTTATGTAAAATAAAATCTATGACAACTGAATTTTATGTCAAATGAGAATTATGTGTAATGAGTTATCCGTCAAATGAAATTTATATCAAATGAACTTTATGTCAAATGAAAATTATGTTAAATGGGATTTATACTAAATGAAATTTATGTCAAGTAAATTTTATGCCAAATGAGAATTATGTTAACTGGAATTTATGCTAAATAAAATTTATATAAATTTAATTTTACGTTAAATAATAATTATGTTAAATGATATTTACGTCAAATGAAATTTATGTCAAGCTAATTTTAAGTGTAATGATATTTATGTCAAATGAGAATTACGTTAAATGACATTTATGCCAAATGAAATTGATGTCAAATGAATTTTATAACAAATAAAATTTACGTTAAATGAATTTTATGTCAAAAGAAATTTATGTTAAATGATTTTTATGTCAATAGAAATTTATGTTACATAATTTTTATGTCAAATGGGAATTAAGTTATCTGAGTTTTAAATAACATAATATTTCTGTTTAATGAATTCTATGACAAATGATATTTATTATGTTAAATGGTTTTTGTCTACAATGAAATTTATGTCACATAATGTGCATATTATGTGAATTTTAAGTAAAGTAGTTTTATATCAAATACCTATTTGGTCAAAAAAGATTTCGGGAATAAGCATGCGTCTCAAAATTATCACTCGGGGGTTTTCGGGGTCGCTGATGACGAATCGGATGTCTGTTTTTAAAAATTCAAAATGTCGGATCCAATATGGCGGACATTTTTTTTTTAATTTTGTTTTTATCATAAAAGCAGAACAACTTTTACAAATGCCGGTTTCATAGAACAGCTATAAGAAGAGTGCAAAAATTGAAATTCCATTGAAATGTCCTAACGCATTTCACCTTTCCAATAAGTTCATGGGTGAAGTGGATCTCCACGGTATGCCATATTGGATCCGCAATTTTGAAAAACTGACATCGTATTCGTCATCAGCGACCCTAAAAACCCCCGAATGATAATTTTCAAGCGAATCCAAAAATTTTTAAAAAAATGTCTGACATATTGGATCTGCCATTTTGGATTTTTGAAAAATCATCATCATATTCGTAATCAGCGACCCCGACAACCCCCGAGTAACAAATTTCAGGTAAATTGGATCATTTTTTAAAAAAGTCGTCTGCCATATTGGATCCGCCATTTTGAATTTTGAAACACTGACATCATATTCGTAATCAGCGACCCCGAAAACCTCCGAGTAATAGTTTTTAAGCGATTTTAGACCTTTTTAAAATAAAAATGCATTGTATTTTCCATGGCAAAGATTTTGAAAAATTTGCTAAAAGTGTTGTTTTTAAAAATTTATAACATTTTTATAATTAATTGAATTTAAAAACAGAAACGTGCGTCGCATTCTGCATAGCGTTAACTTTTTAGAAATTATTTTATTTTTAATTTTCAGCCATTTTTGACTTTGTTACATCAATTTTTATCATGGCAAAGATTGTCAGTTTTCCGGCAGTCAGAGCAAAGTCCGAAATGGCAAAGATCTTTGCCATCAGCAGTCAAGGGGTTAATTAAGATGAAGGAAGGGGGACTTTTGGTTGCCTTTGAGGCATTGATATGTATTTCTTTGTTTGTGTGCCTTAGTTTTTAATGTTTAACTTTAAAATGTTTGAGTGTTGTGTTCAGATTATTATAGTAGTTGTAAGAATTTATATGTTAGTGTGTGTGTGTGTGTTGAGAGCGGATTTTTGGAAAATTCCTAGTCGTGGGATAATAGAGTTCTGAGAGAGGTCAAGGAGATAAACAAAGAGGTGTCTGACAACGGATTATATACCGGCAGGGGGTTTGGCGCCAAGAAGGTCTCAAATTTGCCTTTGTTAGGTAAGAGAGGGGGAATTTTTGCCCTCTTACAAGTCTGGATAACCGGACAAGTCGAATAAAAACATCGGTAAAGAGAAGTTTGTTTCCTTACTTTTCTATAAATTTGTGAAAATAAGTAATTGATAAATAAAATTTAAATTTAAATATACTGTGTTTGGTTTTCTCTTTAACATTATTAATTAATATATATTTACGTATATATATACTTATGCATATTTAAAAAAAGGATTAAATTAAATATATATAGTCCAACTATCCAATTTTTTTACTTTAAATATGAAAAAAATTAAAATCTCTATTATCCAACACAGTAAAAACAAAGTCTTAAATTTAATGGTGGCTAGTTTTAATTTTTGACTTATCTTAAGCTATCAACTTTATTTAATCATAAAAACTAACTGAAAATTAAAGTTAGTTGTACTCTTACTTAAATAAAACTCAGTTTGTAATTTATTTGTAATACACCGGACTTAATTTCAGATCCAATGGTATTAATAAAAAGTTAGATGAAATTAACTTCTAATAAGGTACGCTAACAGCTGACTGTAAGTCTGGCGAGGCTGAAAAAGTTGATTGTGACGTCACAAGGGTCGCAATTTGCAAACGTGAAAAGTCTGAATAGCGCGTTGCGTCGCCGGTTTACTTTTGACTCGTGTTTTATTAATAATATATAAGTCCATAAATTATATTTATAATTGGTGAATCTTAGACAGAAAGTTTAGTTTTATTAGTATGTTAATATTTTAATTCGATTATAAACAAGTTTATAAACATTTTATAATCTTAATTTCACCTAATATATATGTGCATTAGCATTTAATTCTTTATCTTAAAGAGAGAAATTTCCACTGATAGTTTTAATAATTGTTGTTTGTTATAAGAAATTAAATGTGACATATGTTTATTTTAATAAAATTCAAGAATATGAACATACACTGTAAAAACAAAGTCTTTCTTTAAGGCGGTGTCAAAGTCGATTGGATTTTTGCATTGAGCTTCAATGGAAAAATCGCATCGACTTTGACACCGCCTTTAAGCTCGAAATTTGTCTTTTTTCTTTTTTTTTGTAAACGGAAGACTCCCCAATTGATACAAGTAAGGTGTTAAATAAACTGAAATTCAACTGTAAGCTAGATGGTTTAGCTAGATGGTTTGGCTAAATTTTTGCCTTCTTACTAGCTTACAGTTGAATTTCAGTTCATTTAACACCTTACTTGTATCAATTGGGGAGTATTCTTTTTAAACTTCTAATCATTACTGACATTCAGCCAACATGGTCTACTTCCGTTTACACCTTGAAAAAAGACAAATTTCGGGCTTAAAGGAAGACTTTGTTTTTACAGTGAAACTTTCGATTATCCGAACCTAGCCTTGCCTAAATTAGTTCGGATAATCGAGGTTTCATTGTACTATCCTCAAAAACAGTTCATACAACGAGCACCTGTGAAGCATTCACAGATGTCTGTGAGGTCACAGTGTTATAGAACATCTGTTCCTAACTAGTTACACGGTGGGTTTTAAACCCTTTTAACCTAAAAGTGCTCCCACTGTAAATGTCTTTCCATATCATATATGTAAGTAAAATTGTCCCATCACGTCTCAATTTTGA